TATATGTCGTTTTTCATATTTAGTCTCCACATATTAAATATCAATAATTTAGTCTTCAATTATTATATTGTTTTTGACGAATGGTCGTCTGTTAACAATCCCGATAAGAATATAGATAAAAGTGAAAATTCACACTCCTCTCTCCCCTCAATCAAGCTTCCTCTCTCATCTTGTACTCCTTCCCAAACCCACCGATGAGTTTGAACCTCTGTACCCAAAAGTGAAACCACCACTCCTCTGAATTATTCGTCTTACTAGTAAAACCCAAAATCGAAACTAGTAACCTTCATGAATGAGTGTCAAGGGTTAGTCTCAGGAAATTACAAAAAAAAAGGTAGGGACAAAAGTGATTTTTTAATAGAAAGTAGAAATGTTTTATGGTATGTTTGGGAACATGGATTTGGATTTCAAATCTGGATTTGGTTCAAATTTCATGTTTGAAAAACTTAAAAAAATTTGAATTTGGATTTGGGTCAAATTCTTCTCATTCATAACAAAGCTTAATTTGAAATTCATGCACTTTCTCTTCTCATTTGAAATTCAAGATTTCAAATTTTGGAATTGAAATGAAATGATAGTTGCCAAACACTAACTTAGGAATTGGAAAAAGATGAAATATGAAGAATTTAATAGAACATGGATAATTAGTGTTGCACTTACCTTTGATGTTCGTGCAAAGCCTTGAGGTATATACGTACAAATTTGGGTTACTAAGTACCACAATTGCTTCAGAATAGGTGTTTCCGTGTTCATCTTTGTTTGATTTCTGCATTAATTGACTATATTGCCGAGTAAGAAATTGGGGAGTCTGCTTTTCCCGCCACCTTAATTTTCATTTTCTATTTCCCGCGACTGTTTTCCCTCGCCTTATAACTTTCGATCTCTCGTTCAAGTCAAACTCCGTAGAACACTCTTCTTCCTGAATTCAAATGCGTAAGGGTTTTCAATCTTCTTCGTCATTCATTTTTTTTTAATTTTCGAACTGAAAGGAAGCCTATCCGATTTCATTTTTGCAGGAACCTCTTTTTGCAGATTGGAGCTCTGGATCGTCAATCTATTTGCTCAACATCTTAATTTAGGGCTTTTGCTGGACATGAATTCCCGAATTTAGTTCCGAGCTTGTGCGACCTTAGCATTCGTAGGTATATATTTGTGCCAATGTATGGAATTTTATGGATTATATAGCCATCCTACCTGCTTGACCTTTTCGTAGTTTTATGTGCTTCTTAATGTCTGATCTCCCTTGTTCGAATCCTGAATTACTGGATTTATTTTATAGATGGATTTGCGTGGGTTTGTAATATTAGTCTTGCCAGGTATGGGATCCTTTCCTCTAATAGAAACAATGGAACTGAAAATTAAGGTCGGTAACTATTTTAGGATGGGAGAAAAAACATAGCTAGTTGTATGCTGATTTCTTGATTTTGCTCCTTTTTTTCTTCGGTCATGAAGGGAATTTTTGAGAGCAATTTCATATCATTTTGGATAATTACTTCTTACAGGGTGAGTAATACTCTGAAGTCTGCAGCTGCTGGGTAAAGCTTAAGATAGAAGTTTATGCTTGTAGGTTGTCAAGACATGGACCATTGGCTTGCATCAACCTCAGAAGATGAATTTGTTTCCCAGTTCACAATTGTATTTCATGAAATATAATTGGGGAAACCTAAAAATGAATTTGCTTTTATGTAATTCCTACAATTTGATCAAATGCGCTGTATGAAATTTAGGCTGTTTAATCTTTTATTCTGAACTAAAGACAAACTGTGTTCTCCACTTGCCTACTAATTTTAGGCCAGTGTAATACGCTAGATCAAAGTAGAGGTCATCATTTTAGGTTTGGTTCTAGTTTCTTTAGCTTTGTTATGATCTGGTTTATTGAGTTTGGACTTTGGAGCTATTTCCAAAATGTATTTGATCTTGATTTGGTTAAGTCAGTTATTTTGGGGATGGCTAATTATGCATTTCTGATGAATTCTAAGTGCACTATTTTCATTTCTCACGTCAAGTTTCATATGTATATGTGTTTATGTATGTATGCTTGCAGACACACACACATACACACAAAATGCTCAACTTTGATTCTCTTGCTTTTTTTTGTTCATGGAGATAATGACTGCCCCCTTTTTCCTTTTTGTTGGCCAATAAAATCAAGTTAAGTAACATGTTTCTGATTCTTTTAAGCCATTGGGTAATTTTGACAGTTGTCTTGTTAATTGAGCTTTGTGATGGAGTGCAACAAGGATGAAGCCATCCGGGCCAAAGAACTAGCTGAGAAGAAAATGCAGCACCATGACTTTGAAGGGGCTCAAAAGGTTGCCTTAAAAGCACAACATCTTTACCCGGAACTTAGCAACATTTCCCAACTATTAGCAGTATGTAATGTTCACTGTTCAGCTAAAAACAATATATTCGGTTCAGAAAAGGATTGGTATGGCATCCTTCAAGTTGATAGATTTGCTGATGAAGTAACTATTAAGAAACAGTTTCGGAGGCTTGCACTTGTCCTACACCCGGATAAGAATAATTTTCCGGGTGCTGAAGCTGCTTTTAAGCTCATTGGAGAAGCAAATGCTTTGCTTTCTGACCGAGGGAAAAGGTCTTCATATGACTTCAAATGCAAAGTTACAAAAATAAACACTCTGGTGAAGCCACTTCATAATCAGGTCAACAAGGAAAAAATATTCTGGACCTCGTGTCCTTGTTGCAATAAGTATCCATGTAACCAAGAGGCAGTGAACCGAGCCTTAACTTGCCACAATTGCAATAATGTGTTTGTCGCTTATGACTTGGGTTTTCACGGAATACCTCCTGGTGGTCAGGCAGAGCCCTTTAGAACTGTCTTCAGTCAGCCTTCACAGCATAAAAATTTTTGTGAAAACAGACCCACTGAAAAGGCTTCTGAGGCAGCTGGATTTTCATCAGCCCACATGGAACCTCAACATTGCCCCAGTGTAAGGACAGTTACACCTGAAGAGCAAATGCATAGTCAAACCAATCCTGCTTCCAAATGGAAGGGTTTTGGTGTTAATGGTGGTTGTGTCAGGACGTCTCATAGGCGCAAGAAGGAATTCTCATACAATGACAGTAGAGAGGATGGCGATAACAACAAAAGCTCCTCTAAAAAAGCAAGACATGGGTGTTCAGCTGGACACAACAGCAAAGACAAGCAAGAAGCGTATTGTAATGATTCTAAATATGGTAAGTCTGCTGATCTTCAAGCTACATGTGGTAACCATGAGGCAAAAGGAAAACAAAACAAAGTTCCTCAGGAACAAAACAATCAAGGAAAAAAAGTATCCAGTAAGAAAGCAAACAGCGGTGCTTCTTTCTCAGCAGAAAACATTACCCAAAAGATTGAAGTAATTATTGATTTAGAATCAGAGTCTGGTTCTGTTGATCTGAATGATTTAGCCTCTCAGAAATATGACTATCCTGATACGGAGTTTTATGATTTTGATAAGGAAAAAGAAGCTGGCTGCTTTGCAGTAGATCAGGTATGGGCATGCTATGATCCTGTTGATGCCATGCCTAGATTCTATGCCCTAATAAGGAAGGTATTTAGTGCCGGATTTAGACTACGTTTCAATTGGCTCGAGGCTGACCCGGATGATCAAGGTTTAATTGATTGGGCTGAATCTGAATTGCCTGTTGGTTGTGGCAAATATAGGCGTGGTAATACTGAAGAAACTTGCGATCGTCTCATTTTCTCTCATCAAGTGCAATGGGCAAAGGGTAAAAGGGGTTCATTCTTTATATATCCTATGAAAGGGGAAGTTTGGGCTTTATTTAAAGATTGGGATATCAGCTGGAGTTCTGAGCCTGATAAGCATAGTGGATCATTTAAGTACGAAGTTGTGCAAATTCTTTCTGATTTTGTTGGTGATGCTGGTATTGAAGTTGGTTACTTGAATAGAGTGAATGGATTTGTCAGTCTCTTCCAGAATGAACAATGCTCCTCATCATCATTCTTTATAAAGCCAAATGAGATTTATAGGTTCTCCCACAAAATACCCTCTTTGAGATTGAGTGGAACCGAAAGGGAAGGACTACCTGAGGGATCTTTTGAACTTGATCCGGCTTCCCTACCCCAGAATCCCGATGACCTCTCATATCCCTACAAAGTCAAGGAGGTTGACAGCAATGGGGTGCCCAATGTGTACAATTTGTGCACCAAACCCAGCGGTAGGAACAACGGTACATCCAAGACCGAAGGGAGGACAACACCTATTAAGCCTGTGGACGATTTGAAAGATCCCGATGATGCTTGCAATGAAAGGTCTAAAGTTTGTAAATCTCCAAGGGGCTTAAATGGTGCTCCGAAAAAGTGTAACCAGATCGAGGACAGTACTTCTGTGCGTCAATGTGGTGGCAGTGCTACAAGATTGATGTCAAGAATTCGAAGGAACCAAGATCCGACCCGGAGAACAGCAGATCAGATATGAGTTAGTTTGATTCCCGGATCCAAAAAACAGGACTGAGGTTTCAAACTTGGTGCAGCTTATAACAATAATGGGAAAAGGTGGTGATTCAGTCACAGATAATAATGTTTCGGTAACTTCTTGAACTTGATTCTAATTATGGCAGATGCATTTATATTTTATTGCCTTGCAGTGTAAAACTTGCTTCTTACACTTCGTTTATTTTGCCGTTCATTTACCCCTCTTAATTAGAGCATTGTCCTAAAAGGCGGCTTAGGCAACGCGCTCAACTTATTTTTTTTGCTTATCATTTATTCTTATTATAATCAGATCAGATTAGACCAGATCGGAAACAACGTTAATTATAACTGCGATCAGATCAGACCAGATCAGATCTTCAAATAATCTGATCAGATTAGGCGAACGGAACGCAGCCTAGCCTTCTAAGGTGCCCGCCTTAGGTGAGCCATGTGGGGATATCATGTTTTAGTTTTGTACAAATATTTAAATAAAATGAGTTAAAAATATCATTAATCGTGAATCACAATACATGTGTAAGAAATTAATGAGACAGAGTAGTTCACAACACAAATAGTTTTATTCAATATGAAAGAACAATAACACATTAACACCCATCCAATACCAAAGTGTTTGGTCGCTTCTTCATTCCAGGCGCCTTCTATAGATAGTAGAACCTCACGAACTCATATTTGACACTATCTTTTAACACTTTAAGTATATATATATACACATTCAAACATTTATTATATCTGTGTATGTTTGTGAAATACTGTAATGTCAAAAGTGGTGTCAAATGTGGACGGAATTTGTCTAATTAAAGGCGGGGGCGGACACAAACACCACCAGCATCAGGGAAATTGCCTTCGAGCTTGCAATTTAGTCCCTTGCAGCATGGAAATCCCACAATACCCCCGCAAAATTGGTTTATTGTCTTGCACCCATTATCTCTTTGTGCCATCACTCCATCTGCGCATTGATCAAAACAATATGTTATAGTTCACGCATGCATCAAAATAATAATTAAAAATATGGTACATTTATTAATTAAATTCTATTATGGACCTATATCATTAAATATAGCTTCAATCCACTACGACTAAACAAGTTGATAAATATGGAAGTAAATATGTGGGCTAAATTTCACTATTGGTCCTTCAAGTTACTGCGTCATGCACAGTTGGTCTATCAACTTTGAAAATTGCATGAATGGTCCTTTAAGTCATGTTACATGTTAACGGTTCATAGTTGCATTGGTCCTTTAACTTTGAAAATTTCACAAATAATCGTTCAAGTCATGTTAGCATTGCATGGTTGGTTCTTCCATTATTTTTACTGTTAGTCCATGCATTATATATATATATATATATATATATATATATATATATATATATATATATATATATATATATATATATACCCTCCATCCCAAATTATTTGCAACATTTGCTTTTTTAGCAGTCGCGGGAACTTTTGTTTATTTCTATGTTTTAATGAGTTATTTGATAAAATAAAATATTCTTGACACCTCTTATTTTGAAGAACTTTTCAAGTAGTTTTTTGATATGTAAATTTTATTTTTTTATTTCTATACCAATATGAAAATAAAATGAATTGAAAAAACTTGATATTTTGCATCGGGAATACAAGTGTGGCAAATATTTAGGGACGGAGGGAGTATATATACACACACACACACACACACTACGTATATATCATTTTAAATACATGAGAAACATTTTCTTCTTTATATAATTGAACCTTATTTAATATAGGTCCATTTTTAATAGTACTACCTCCGTCCCATTTTATAACGCCTGTTTCGGTTTACGATGTTTGACTGAAATTATTTTCAAACCATTTTATATGAAAAATGGTATAGAATTAAAAATAAAAATTACATATTAAAAAACTACATCAAAAGATCTACAAAATTAGTAGTGACAATAATATTTTATTTTATCAAATTGCTAACGAAAATAGAGAAAAAAAGTGAATGAAGTTTGACCCTGTGAATAGTAAACAGGCATTATAATTTGGGACGGAGGGAGTAATAGTTACTCTTGCTTTAATTACTCCAAATTTTTAAAATAAAATAAGTTACTTTTGCTTTTTTGAGTTGAGTTTTATTTTAAAAAAATATCACTCTCCCTTAAAATTTTTATCAAATTATAACTTTTTACAGTAAAAAAAGTGGATTTTTTTACTAATATTTCAATTAAAATAAATCTACAAAAAGTATGACTCAATTTTGTGAAAAAGAGAAGGTTCCTCACGTGAATTTATCATGAAAAATTTTAAAAATGCATGGAGTAACAAACAAATTAATAGAAGGACCAATCACGTAACACCAGCGTGACTTAGCTTGAAGGATTATCTGTGGAATTTTTAAAGTTAAATTACTAACCATGCAACGCTAACATAACATGAAAGACTATTTATGAAATTTTTAAATTAAAGTTGAAGGGCTAACCGTGCATGACCCAACCAACATAACGTTAAAATTTAGCCTAAATATATGTATATATATATATATATATATATATATATATATATATATATATATATACATACCTGGGATGGCAACTAGAAAAAGAACCGATAACACAAAGGTAAGAAAGAGGACGAGGAACTTGGTGGAAATCCCCCTTGCCATAACAATAATTTATAATTGTAGCAATAATAATAATAGGAATAATAATACCCAATAATGATAAAATGATGGAAAATGAGATTTCAGAACCAATGCATGGGTGATTAATATATATAGAGACCGGGGTTCATTATCGCTCTATCCGTGTCTTCGCCGCCTTAATTGTGAGTTCGTGGATAAATTAAAATAATGGGTCTGCATACCACGTATACATTACTCCTCGATCATGACTTGTCAATTCTTTTACGCAGTATTATTTTCTTACGCCACGGCTCCAGAGGCGGATCCAGGATTTTACGATCATGGGGTCCTCTACCTCCGATTCTCATATCAAACTATTTCATTAGTCTTAATATTTAACAATAAACTAAAACTAATATTTGAAAAATATCATAATTAAAACATAGAAATAAAGTCATACGAAAATAATATTAATTACATAAATTAGACATAAAATGAATACTAATACAATAATACTTATCACTTGCAATTCTAAATCAATTTTTTATTGAAGAAAAATCTTTGATTCTTTTAAGAATAAGTAATGAATAAAAAATAAATATATAAATTATTATATATTTATATATTACTAATCATATATCAAACTTCAAACTATCATAAAAATTAATTTCAGTACAATGGTCGAACTTCGGCGGCACAGCGAACAAAGGCCGGCAGGCGACGGGAAAGAGAGATGGAGAATCGACGAAGGTTAAGGTTCAAAATAAAAAATTCGAAATAGAGAATTGGGAAAGAGAGGTCAAATTTGTAGAAAAAATAGGGGTTACGCGTTTTAATTTTACGCACAAAACGACGCAAAATAGGGGTTACGCGTTTTCAAGGTTGGCGTTCAAAATTAAAGATTCTAAATAGAGAATTGAGGAAGAGCGGTCAAATTTGCAGAGAAAATAGGGGTTACTAAATTTTACGCGCAAAACGACTTCGTTTTACTCCATGCTCTTTTTTTTAAAAAAAAAAAGAAAAAACCAACTCTAAAAGACGAAGGTGGGATTCAAAATTAAAATTCGAAATAGAGAATTGGGGAAGAGAGGTCAAATTTGCAAAGACAATAGGTGTTACGTGTTTTAGTTTTTTTTTTTTAAAAAAAAAAGAAAAAACTGACTATAAACTCCATGCTCTTTTTTTAAAAAAAAAAAGAAAAAACTGACTATAAACTCCATGCTCTTTTTAAAAAAAAGGAAAAACTGACTATAAAAAACCAAGAGGGGAGTCGAATTCGGGCTACTAGAGTTATTGGGATGAAACGCGCGCTTTCACTGAACCAAACGCCATTCTAGTGACATGCCGCTACGCGTAGTTTTTATATATTAAACATATTTACAAACTACGGAGTAATACTTTATGGACCTACACCGGGGTCCGTGGGTCCCAGGACCCCATAGGACTCAAGGTGGGTCCGCTTCTGTATTCATATATTCATATATCAAACTTCAAAGTTCAAACTACCATAAAAATTAATTTTATTAAAATAAAGAATTTTTTTTACCTGAGTCGCTGACGGGAGTGACAAAGTCTGGAGACGGTCTGGCGGGCGGCGGGAAGAAGATGACGCAGGTCGCCCGTCGCTAGCGGGCGGCGGTTGGTCGGCGGTCTCGCAGAGTCGCAGAAGAAGTGAAGAACGGCAGATTGGGCAGCTTCAGGCATGGAGTTAGGGTTCCAATTTCCAAAATTAAAATTAAAAGTGGAATTGGGGAAGAGGGGGGAATTTGCAGAGAAAAGGAGGAGAGAAAACGACGTCGTTTTCAAGGTTAAAAAGAAAAAAAATTGACTAATAAAGTACCAGGCTGGGAGTTGATACTCCGTCCCTGGGGAGCGAGCAGCCGAGAAGGAGAAGCGCATAAGTAGGCGCTCTTCCACTAAGCCAAACGCGATTCTAGCTACTATTAGGCAATCTTTTTTTATATATTAATACTTATACATACCTAATACCTATATGGACCTACACCGAGGTCCGTGGGGTCCCGGGACCCCATAGGACTCAAGGTGGGTCCGCCTCTGCAGGGCTCCATTGCTACTGCCGCCTACTGGCATAATTTTCAGAACCGGATCAAGGACCGAACCGGTCAAGGTACAAGTTCACTGGTTTACTGGTCGGATCGGTGGTTCAAGTGGCCAAACCAGTGGTTCACGCATATTTAAAAATTCAATATATATATATATATATATATATATATATATATATATATATATATATATATATATATATATATATATATATATATAGCTATAGTATATAGTTATTTATTTAAACAAATAAAAAATTACGGAGTATAAAATAAGAGGTTATATTTTTTGTTTTATAATTTACACAATATTTTTAAAATAATTAAATGAGTTAATAGTTTTCTGATATAAAGTTCATATTAGAATCAATTGCATCAATATTTTAGAATTTGAATCACAGTTTCAACATTATATTATTAAAATTTTTAAAAATAAAAAAAGTCTTTTTAGAATATGTATATTTGTATATTTTTAAGAATGTAATATATAACTAAAAAAGAGATCGTAGCATGGATGTTGTGTTCGAAACCCGTTAGTAACAATTTTTGAGACATTTGTGCAAAAAAAGGTCACCGGTCAAACCGCTGGTTCTACCTGGTTCGTTCCGGTTTGGTGTACATTTCGGTCTTTGATTCCCGGTCCGAACTGGCCGGTCCGGTCCGATTTTTAAAACTATAGCCACTAGGCAACGACGTCACTAGCATTGTTACTATGTTTTTGGAGCACCTCCGATTCTCTGTTTAAAAATTGATTGTTCCTTCCCCTAACATATCCCTACACCAGCCTTCACCCTAAGCCCCTTCAAACGTGTGGCTATATTGCATAATAACCACACATTTGGAGGGGGCTTAGGACAGAGCGGGGGGAGGGTGAAGGGCTGGGGTGGGATTTTAGGAGGTCGGGGGTTGAGGAGGTGGGTTAGGGGGATAAGAACCATCAATTTTACAAACGGGGCATCAGAGGTACTACAAAAATGCAATGACACTGATGTATTGACTAGTGTCGACGGAACCGTGCCGATTTTTTCTATTATTATTGTTGTTGTTGTTGTTATTGTTATTATTATTATAATTATTACGGAGTATTATTATTATTATTATTAGATGGTTTGGTTTCCCAATGAGCTAACGTTTGTTGACTATTTTCATGATTTAGAAAAAAAGGTTTGTTGACTATTGAGATTTGGGAATACCGTGCGCCATACTCGGAAAATATTGGATAATCCCAAATGTTAGAGCCTCTTGGGGCGATATTTGTCATGTAGAGACCGTGGCACTATGTGAGCAGAATCATTTTGAATAAAAAAAATGTGCAATGGTGGTTGTATGAGTACTCATTTTAGACTAACACGTTACTCATTCTGGAGTAACTGAATTCTAATTTTTAAGTATAATTAAATTTTAGAAAAAGTACTCGTTATGGATATACAGGAAACACTGTGCCACTCGTTTATACGGTATATATTGTGGTGGTTCCATACCTATAGGCTATATCAAGTCTTTACATTATTACTTTTTTTAGTGGTTGGAATCACGCCACAAAGCACTAAAGAACTAACACCTCTAGTATTGGTGTTTTAGAGCATGAAAGTGTTAGCCATGGTTTCCTAAGTCTTGTGTTTTAATATTAACAAACAATATAAGAACTAACATCTGTTTAAATATTTCAGGCACAACAAGAATTCATTAAGATTCAGTTTTCAAGAATGAAGTTGAAACACTAAACTAGCATAGAATATAGGTGGAAACAAATGTGAGCATATGATTTTATATACCTATATTCACAAGCTCAAAAGCACTCACAAAACATGTTTAAAACCATCTCATAAATATTTTCAAATATCCAAAAGGTTTTAAACTCAAACGAGAAGGCTAGGATTAAGCGAATTTTGGGAAAACAAGGACCGGCACACAGTACCCTTTACGGTACGCGTTACTGTCGCCAGGGTAGGCCCTACCGTCCCTACCGTACCACGGTACCGTGAGGCCCGCCATAGAGACCGCCGGAGCGGTTGGTTTTTGATGGTTCCCGGTACCCCTATCCGGTAGGTCCTACCGTGCGCACGGTACATAGATACCAGACCGTACCTCCCTACCGCCGAAGCCGTTTGTGTTACTGTTCCTCATTGCTGTTTTTGAATTTAATCAACCCTAAACACCTCCCAACGGCTAATTAATACCTTCCACTATAAATATAGGCATAATCCTTCATATTTCAACAAGAAACCAAACTCTAAACATCCTACTTTTATATTTTAAGTGTGTTCATCCTTTTATTCTTAATTCTTTATATTTTGGCTACTTCAAGAGCCTTAATATCCTGATTTTCATACACACTTTTGAGTTTATGGTTTAGATATATATACTCTCATATTCATAGGTTTATATTATATTTTTGAGAGAGTATATGTATTTTTGTTCTACACTGGGTAAGTTTTATTCTTCATCCTTGTAATCAAGTCGTTGTTTAGATGGCCAAATTGTTGGGTTTTGGGCTCACTTCTTATGTGGAGGCCCAAGTAAAGCCCAATTCTTCACAAACCCATTCTTTGATGAAATAAGAGGATAACCAGAGGTTGAGTTAGGGTGGTGTGTCGAAAACGAGAGAGAGAGAGAGAGCAGAAAAATCGAGAGAGAGAAGGAAGCTGTTCTTTTTTCGAATTTCTGTGCAACGTTTTTCAGACTGATGTTTGGAGGGTCAAACGGTGTCCGATTGTTCTGAAATTTTAAGGGCAGGTTCGGGACACAATGAACTTGATTTCCACCGGTCAGTTTTGGATTTGAAGGTCTGCAGGCAGAGATATTTGCATCTGAATAGAGGCAGTATTTTTCTGGTTTTTCTGCGTATTCTCTAGTTGTTTGCTCCTTGTTGTGGCAGTATATTTGCAGTATGTTTATACCGATTTCAGCCCTTGTTTGAGACACTCTTGTACCCTATTTCTGGTCATAGTGGAGCTTGCTTGGTGGTCTTTGTGACATGTGGTTTTTACTCTCGATTTGAGGGGTTTTCCACGTAAAAATTCTGGTGCATCGTGTCTTTATTGTTTGTGCTTATTTGCTATTATCTTGTTGCTGTTTTTGATCCTCTTACTCATTGCAAGTGGGGAATTTGTATTTGGTGCGGTTGTATTCTCTTCTAAATTCCCACCACAAATTTCCGTTGTTGCGTGCATATTCTTGAAGGTGCAAAGTCAAGTATCGCTACCTATGTTCGGTTGGGATAGAGGTGTAATTAAAGTCCTATATCTAGCACTAGGAGATGACAGAGATATTTGGAACAACACTCTTAGGATGTGAGATCAAGAATTCAGGTCACTGTATATATTCAGTAGCCAGATATGGCATTGCCCCTGTTGCGGATTTCCACTCGAGCAAAACAAAGTTAGTTTCCCTCGAAAAATAAATGTTCTTGAGCTTCCAAGCTCAATTGGGATCTCAACTCCACTAATTCTTCTCGTTGCAAGGGAAAGAGATGCAATATTTGAAGTTCACATCCATTGAAAGTTATCTTCCAAGTAGTAGCATGAAAACACTCTTTAACGAGAGAAACATTCCTTCAATGTCCAACCAAGTGGTATCCCTAAATATTTTACCCAACATTTTTCTTTTTTGCTACGATCACGACCACAAAAACACATTTAGGAATGTTTCTGTTTCTATTCAAATTCTATGGTTGCAATTTGTAACGAAAAAGGCAAAATCTTGGGTAAAACATTTAGGGAAAGTTTCTCCTGTTCAAATCCTTCAATTACCAAAACTTTCCTTCATGAAAACTTTCCTTCAATTACTAATTGATGGATTCAATGCCGCAGCATTGATGGATTTGAACAATTCTAATATTTTAACATTAATTTTCCTTCAATGGTGTCTCGATATTTCCATTCTTATTTGCACAACTCTAACAATTTCTTAATATAGTTCATATAAAAAAATTGATTAATTATAAGATGTATTTATTCTTAAGCAAGTTTCTTTTGTGTAATGCGCCTTACTTTCTATAAAGTTATGGGCGGTAAATGTAGTAATGCATCAAGGGAAGGGTCTAACAAAAACTGATATAGTGGATTTGTTGCGTTGCAAGTTTCATTGGGGATTCGAGGAGCTCTTGTCATGATTCCGATCACTTTGGTTGAGGAATTTACCGTAAACCCGTAATTACCAAAAGGCTTGTTGGAGACTAAGTTTGGTGTTCAAATCCTTTGAGATTTCAGATATTAAATTGATATTCGAATCAATTCTGGAGTACAAGTATGGGGTTGATATTCGTCTAATTTTATCTTAAAATGTCTAATTTTGATCCTTCGGGTACGCTACTGAATCTTTAGAGTCTAAGCTACCTTGATCACTGATTCACAATGTCGTTTCTGAGGATGTGCGTTGGACAACTCAATGTGTTTTCTCGGTAAGAAAGTATAAACCAGAAGTGTGCATAACACTAATTAATTCATCTTGATCTTGTGGATTAGAAAGTCTTACGTGTTTTTGTTCGGAAATATTTTATATTTGCAAGTAATTTATGTGATGCGAAATGCTTTGAATCATCATCATCATCATCATCATTAAAATAGAAACATGATGTGGTATAAATGACATGTGAAGAAAATAAACCATAGAAGTTTTATGAAGTTGAGGTTGCCACACAATGACACATTTGATGATGACAATGTCAAACCAATACAGGAATTGCACTTTTGTTGTCTGGGGAGGCATTGCTTTCGGTTTCAGGACAAGCAGGGGAAGCATTGTTAGCTAGCAACAACCCAGGTAATGTTTATTTATTGATTTCTATGTCAAGTTATATTTACTTCTACATTAATTTCCTTGCAATATCCCTAAGTAAAAACTTCTGAATCTTGCCGGTGGACGTC